ACATGGAAATGCTCCCATACTCCAGACCTGGGTCTCTTGCGTACGTTTTCTATATTTATGTATTGAATAATGCCGACAGCAACCAACAAAACATCTGGTAGTGCATGCTGGACTTCATTACGTGAGCATGAAAACGAGTCTGTGTATGAAACAGTGTAAAAGTGAAGGACATTTTGCAAATTACAGCCTGCTTTATTATTTACTTTACCATCTTAAAAAGTCAGTTTCACCATGCAATGAAAATCTTTCTCTGCATATTCCATCTGAGCACAGTTGACACAGATAAAACACAAGACACAACATCACAACATAGAGAACAATTGTAAATCTTGCTAAGTTTTTGAGAAACGTATGGCGTTTCAGTGAAGTTTGGAAGCCTCTAACCCAGCGATCACATGACAAAGTCAATCAATGTGACGCGTGCTTTGAAAGCTTGACCTGTGATTCAAAGTGGTGTATCGTGGCCACCCCTAATAAACGGGGTAAACTCAAACCATACTGTAAGCTCTTTTCCACAGCTCAGTCACTGAATATGAATACATTAAACTTAAGTCCAGTAGGCTACGACCTACTAGGAGAATGAGGCTGGACTTGGTCAGACTCCAAGATTAGGCTGTTTCTGATGTGTTTGCATGCAGTTTGTGAGAGGAACTAGCAGACTTGGCTGCAACTGCTGATCTTAATGATGAAAGAGACCTTCCATGATAGGACTCTAAAGATCGCTAATGGTTGTGTTGGTGTTTCCAGTGTTCCCAGAAGGAGGTGTCTCATCTCACAAGGCACCCTGGATATTATCGAGACCAGGATATTATTGCACCGGGTTTCTGCACCCCGCCACAGTGGATGGGTCACAGGGCCCCTCCTTCTCCTCTCTAACCTCTTCCCTGGTTTTATTATTATTATTATTTTTATTTATTTTTATTTTTATTTGGCTTTTGAAGAGGGACGGTATTCACCCCACGTGGGCTGGTGCCGATCTCCTGTCAAAAAGCATAGCTCACAGTCTTAGGGCAGATTGCTGACTAACCAGAGCCAAGCCAAGGCGGCAGGTAAAACGGCTTAACCGACCTCCTGCTAGTCACTTAGAGTCGTCACCCAGGCTTCATATTATTGAGACTGTGTCTGTTCCCCGCGGTTTTAATCGTGGGGGGTTCATTCCATCGTAGTTCGTGTCTTGCAAACCTTAGAGAAATTAGACCTATTTCAACTCTGTATAGTAGGTGTAATGCAAACCTAAAACTTGGACTCCTGAACATTAGATCGCTGGCTCCTAAGACATTGCTCGTAAATGAAATC